ATAATTAATTAATATGATAATTAATTAATCGAATTATAGTTAATAGAACTATAATATGAACTTAAGGAAAACGCAAACATTTTTATATGAAATAAATCGATAATATCACATAAAATCTAAAGTATACATAAAGAAATGTACAAACTTTCAAACCAACGATTCGAGTATTCTTCATCATAAAGATTTCCATCAAATTTCAAATTTCAAATCGAACTTCAACAAATTTTCAGACTACACAGGAACACCATGAGGGAAAGAAAGTGGATCCGAAAAAAACGGTTGTAACGATCGATTACTCGCTGACGTTTATTTCATCAATTTAACAATAGAACATTCGTACGAAAATATAGGATACTTGGGCAGTATTTATCAGTCCACAGAAAATGTGTTTCAAAGGCGTGTGAACGTCGCGCCGAACAATATTAATGCTGGGCTACTGCCATCTCGATTATTCTGCTAGCGCGCAAGAAGCGGTTCACCATACGAATATATTCGAAAATTTCGTTCGTGACGCTCTGTCGCAGGAATTGTGCTCCCTTATTTGTAATTAATAACTACGAGTATCAACGAGTAAAGAACAGTATTATCAATAGAGCATAGATAACGCATAAATTGTCATTATTAATCGATTATCACTCGTTCATCCAGCAAATCTCATCCAGCTGGGTCGTTAATATAACTACATGTATATATATATATATATACGTATATATACTATAACTATATACAGGGTGGAGCATACGAACTAAATATCTCCATGGCATTTATAAATATATACGAAAACAACTGTTTCAAGTAAAATTAGACTACCCGAAGCAGTTTACAATACAGTATGCGTACTCTTCTTGAGTTCACTTTGACTCGTACAGTCGTTTCATATATATCTACCGACAATGGAAATATTCAGGTTTCCATTCGCGTGCTCCACTCCGTATATACGTATCAATATAGTATGTACATATATACGTTTATACATATACATAGATTTATATATTTATATATAAATGTATATATACGATATCGCATCTACAGGCGCAAGGAAGCACGTACGTTGTGGCGCGTGCATGGTACGAGTTCGCGTGTATAGTAAAATATATGTTGCTCCTAATCAGCATGAAAATTCATTAGACCGATGCACCAACGATACTCTATCACTATCTACGAATACAGATTTCGTAGGGTTGCATTGGCCGCGATATGCTCGCGAAATAGGCACTTTTTCTCCATCGGTTACAATTCCTTTTGTCACTCTTAACCTTTTTCTCTCTCTCCCTCTATTAATTTCCAACAAATTTACCATCGTAGGTTTCACACCATAGACCTTAAAATACGCAGTTTCACGCGACAAACGTTACAATTCACGAAACAAGAACATTCTGGCAATTGGCATCCATAGGTCAATGGAGGCGTTTCAATTAACCCTTTGCGCTCGAAAGTTTTTCACTGGAAACATTCGTCGTTCTTTAACGAGATATAGATATGTTTCGGATTGAACTTAAACAGAAGTCATACGTACATTAAGGAATAAAAACTATGTTATCAAAATATCTCGCATATTGGTACATCACGCGAAACATGATTAATGCATTATCGATTATCAATTGCATTAATTTAATATTAATGCAATTTATTCCGCATATTAGAATTCCGTCAAGTGCAAAGGGTTAAACGTGGTCCTCCATCAATTCTGTCACTTTCGAAGTGGATCATCTTTGAGCGACGCGATCTATCTTACGCTGGAACGGAAGCTCCCGGGAGCCGGAAACGACCTGTTCCGATTAACAATTAAATATGTAACGACTACGATTACTAGTAGCTGCAAAATAAAAAAAAGATAAGGTAGAAGAAACACACACGCAAAAATGAGGAATGTAGGAGGCATATTACAGTATCAAGCGAGTAAGTAGCGAATGATAAGAAGGAAGTGCGACCGGCTTGGAATAAGGGGCGGTGAGGGGAGAATAAACGAAAAACAAAAATGTTACAATGTAAATTGGGGAAAAGGTTTGTAAATTCTATTCATGTAGACGATCCTAAATAAAAAATACAAAATACAAGAATCACGATATGGAGTGTTTCGATTATACTTGGCAGTCTTACTTTGAGCATGGATCTCTCGCGAATTATCATAGATATGGTGAAGGAGAGGCTCGCACGCAAGTGAGTTCCTTTTTCCCATTTCTATCTACATTTTCTTATTGATAGACTGCAAATGTTAAACGTTCGTTAAATAGACGTTTAAATACGTATCCCAAGAAAGTGTATCTAAATAACATTATCATTTTACTCCGAATCGTTCTATATATCGAATCGTTTCTTCATATAGAATCTTTCGTCTAGGTGTATAACAGAAGATTCTGTTTTTGCGAGCTCCGGCTCGGATTATTGAAACAATGATCTAATATAGAATATGCAATATAATGATATAATAATTGATCTAAAATAATATTGAATATTGAAATGAAGTCATATGTGTATCACATATGTGTATCAGAGAAACGTTCCAGAAAAATCAGAATTTCCGTGAACATCTACAGTCTATTTATAACTAAACGTTTTATTATCGTTTTGTTTTCTTTTTTAACTTGGTCCTTTACATCAATCACGCGACATGTCGACAGAAATTTCGAAATTTCGAAATCGACGCGTAGGATACGTATGTGTACGTTTCTTCTGTTTTCGTTATTTTGTGGTCCCTCGATAGAAACTTATGTATGATTGTGCGCACGTTAAGAATGCAAAGATTACTCAGCACAGACGCGTTAAGAGAATTTAGTAATCTAAACTGTAATCTGTATACCTGTCTATCTTTTTTTTTACTCTCGCTCTCAGACACATTCA